TGGAACCAATTACTGAAAGAGCTGGGGGAAGGGAGTTAGTAATGATGGTTGCAAAGGAGGAGGAGGAGATGCTTCTCACTGAAGTGCAGTCACCATAGTTCATATGGTAGCACGATGAGCAGGGTAACAATATGTTCCAGATGCACAAATTAAAAAAGGCAGACACTTTTCACCATATAAAAGCAATACACCACTAGCCACACATCATGCATTCCTTGCTAAGTATTTATGAGCAATGTATTTATAGCATACATTAAAAGATGTACTTTCAGAATGAGTTGACTCTATATCTTCCATCCGCCAGACCAACAGACCAACTTGCCTCCATGACCACCTGACCAGCTATTGAATAAGCCACAACATTCAACAGGAGGAAAATCATGGCTCAGTAGCGAATGAAAGGTTACATGTTCAATCTCATCTATCAGAATGAGCATACAATTCACCTTCCCTTGAGCTCTCAGAGCAGAGAGATACAGATGTTACATTAGGTCACAGAGTAACATCTGGTTACCTATGTCTTATGATTGGGTGAAACCAATCATGTAGTGCCTGCCTCCTGGTGGTCTATGTAAATGTTCAATCAAAAGCATTTTCCCTTAAAAGCATAAGATAATAGATGATAAGGGAGACATTTGCCAGAACTGTGGAGAGCTACTGCTGGACAGTTAGAATACTTAGTTCTGGTTGAGATGAACAAACAGGATAATGGGATGCATGGCAGCTGAATTGGCTTTGATCTGGTAAGGCAACAATTGACCAGTCAAAGCAAAAATAGCCCTGCTGAAGTATCCTGTTTCCAGCTATGTGGCAAAACACATCTGAGAGCAATGGAGAAATGCTATTAATGTAAACCAGGATGGAACTTTCTTTCCAGTAGAACTCACTAGAGCTAGGGATGTTAGAAAAAAAAAAAGTTCTCTTTCACAGAGAAATATCAGGATGCATCAGTATAAAAGCACTGCGTCAGCCTTGCAAAGTAGTCCAAACAAGAAGCACACTCAGAAGAACTGGTTCTACTTTACTGTAAGGTTACATTAACAGAATCTTGCAAATCTGAATGTACACCGCCCCCCCCCTCACCTTTACAGCCCAAGAAACTAGGAAGGATCCCTTCTGAGATGTTTGCCATACTCACACTTCTGCTGCAGGCTAAGCTGCCTCTTATCTGACTGTTCCCCTGGCTGCAGGTCTTCCCCCTGTCTCTCAAGGTCATTCCCACAGACCATTATGCACTGAGATAAAAGGCTGTAATAAATGCAGTTTTCTGCTTTGTACCACCCTCAGCTATAAAAGTGTACAAATCCAGAACGTATTCCAAAATGGTGTATCAAGTCAACAAAAGTTTTGGAAAGCTGTATTTAAAAATACATGTTGGGTCTCAAAATGTATAAAGTGGGCTGCTAAAGTGGACAGAGTAGTCACACAGATAGAAATACTTTTAAACTGCAAGAAAAGACATGCAACATCGCTATGAAAACAGCTGCAAATAATTCACTGAGTAATTTGTCAGAATGAAATGAATATTTGTGGCATGGCATGGGCCAAGTTTCCACCGACCAGCATGTTGTATGTGGCACTGAAATGGAACCAGACATATTACAGTGACTTTGGGAGCAGGCAGGAAATTAAGGAACAGATCTGTGGAGATCATAGTCAATCCACCTTAATGTGGTATTTTGCCTCACCAAGACGTATCACTGCTTTGATGTGATGGCAAAAGTGAGACACTCGGCTTCCTCCAAGCAGCAAGGCAAGGTCAGTCTCACTTGATCTGCAGCTTCATTTTGATGGAAGCAGCTTCTGAGCAAGGATTGTTTTATACATTCAGAAAAGTTCAACAAGTATGTGCTTTGAAATAAATGTCTTCTTATTTGAATTTATGTCTAAATCTGAGCTGCTTATTTTTCTATCCCTGCAAGAAGGAAAATGTGATACTGTAAATTACTGCATATTGCATTTCTTCTTGACGCGCCTGGATTTTCAGTCTGAGCTGTGCTAGACTCTGCGCTTCCAGACTGGGACTGCAGATCCATCTCCACAGATGAACTGCGCAACAGTGTGTCTTCTTCAAATCCGAAGGACTACCTATATTGTATTTTGTATACTTTTTGCTTTGTAATGTCAACCAAGTAGGGTTGCTGGGTAGGGATACTGGGAACATCTGGTTAGGGAGCAGGCCAGACTGGCGATTAGCCTATTTTTGTCTATAATCAAAGATAGTATGAATTACAACTTGGCATGGAAATATGGCCTTCTGTTTTCTTTGCCTAAAGCTTTCCCCATCTTTAATAAATCTCTTTTTTTTTCTGAATTGCTGGAGAACTCTTGACAGAACGCATTTCCTGGTCACATCTGAGTAGGGAAGAAGGATGTGCTTCCCAGGCAAGATGGTTTTTCTGAAAGGAGAAGCTGCTCGTAAATGAAATGGTTGATTCTGTTAGAGACACTTTTGCTGAGCAGAGCAGAGCAGAGCCCTCATGCCCATTAGATGTGGGACATTGAGGCACTTCATGAAGACAATTTGGAAAGATACTTCACTTAGACCTCTGCTGAAGTGAAGCATCACTTCATTGAGATTTGCTTTCATAAGAGACAAAGTTCCTCCAGGCATGTCTTCAACTCACTGAAGTTGTTTTTAGTACTGGAACTACAGCTCATACATAAATATCATTACATACAAACCCTCTTTTCCCCAATCTTTATTTTAATAGTCTAATTTAGGAAGGAGAAATGCATTTTGTTTTCATGATTGTTAAACCAATGCAATCCTTATTGGAATCTGTTGACCTTCTGCCTACCAATGGTCTAACCTTTACTAGGAACTAATTTTTCTATGAAAAAAAAGTAACACAAAACAAGTGAGGTTAAAACTATTCAGCTTTAATAATTATGCCTATAATTTAGTGCTCTGCTGAAAAATTATCCTTTTTTCATACTATTCTCATTCATTTTAATGAGGAAAAAAAGTGCTTTCACTATAGAAAGGAGAAGAAAATTTCAGAATAATCCTGATGGTTGGAGAGCAAGATGGTTGTGTTTACTGTAATAATAGAATTACTGGGGGGGGGGGGTCCTTTGTTCTTTTGACCATCTGGAGAGATGGAGTGAAACTACCCTGACTTCCAACACTTCAATTATATTCCATAGAAGCCAATATGAAGGAACACCTCTTCTAGGGCTTTTTCAGAACAACAATGAAGGACAACCAGAGAGTAATGAATAGGCAGATAGTGGAAAAGCTATAACCATAATACCAATAGTGTCCTATTCATCAAGCAATACTAGAATAAGCTCAACCACCACCACCAAAAAAAAAAACCACACCAAAATGTCAGGTCCTTAGAGAATGGAGTAGAAAAGCAAAATACCCTTTTGCAGGGGGGTAATCTGTTACGAAACTGGAAAGCAGTCTAACCTGCTGTTAACGTCATCTAAATTAATTACCATCCATTGTAGCAATGGATTCCCTTTACCTCCCTCAACAGGAAGAAATGTAACACCTTCCTTGAAAAACAAGACTCATACTCAACAGTGTTATTGGGCATAACAAGGATGGCCAGTTCTTTTTGCTTTCCTTTCTGAGATGAAGGAACCAAAGGTTTTATAGCTTAGTGGAGAAACAGATACTAACCTTCCACTCCTCCTGTTTCAGCGCTAGAGCAACTGCCCTACATGCAGCCAAAGAAGTTAGGAGACTTTGGGGAGGAGAATCAAGATTGTGGATGACCCAGCAATCAAACAGCTTCCCATTTCTCAAGCACTTTCCCTAATTTTTTATTTTGGGTATGGAGCACTGGGAATTTCTGGTCTTTGCATGTAGATTTGCTTGCTTTTATAAACTGCCCCAAAAGGACCAAGCTGGCCATTTCAAACACCTGGTTACAGTTTCTGGCATAGCTTATCAGATACAATGGACCACAGGGCTTTTAGCAGTGACAGTTGTTCTTCATAACAAACTGCAACTACCCAAAATCCTACTTTACACACCTTATCATTGTATCTCTGACATTCTTTATGTGCAACTGGCCAAGATATTCTATTACTGGTGCCACTCAATTTCAAAGTTTGCTGGGTGATCCTGAGTCCATCATTGCCCTTCATCTACACCTGTCTAAGGAGGCTGTTGCTCTGATGAGATGGAAAAGGAAATTATGTACGCAACCAAGAGCTCTTAGAAAGAAGGAAATGATTAAAAATAAAACACGGCTGATTACATCTAGTAACAGGGAGCAGCACATATCTAAGAGGCTGTGTGTTTCTCTCAGCGTTTAGATACTTCAAAAGTTACTGTGATTATCAAATTTCATATCTTCTGAATGGATGGCATAAAACTCCATCTCTGAATAGCACCTTTATGCAAGTGTGGTTGAAATAAATGACTTGACAATTCTGCCTACCTGATTATTCCCTTTCCAACAGTTTGCCTTCTCCTAAGTCACTGGCCTGCCTCTTTACAACATCATACCCAAGATATTGTATCTGCCTGTCACTACCTGCAAGTCACGAGGAAACTCCATTAAGGGCCAAATCAAAGTATATTTAAGCCGCACCTGCTGAAAGCCTCTTTTCTATATCACCAGAATGGAGATGAATGAAAATGCATAGAAAAGTAGCATTGAAGGACTCTTCCTGATGTTTCAGTTCCCTTTCATTCTTGCTAAGATTTATATATCCTTCCATTAATCATTAAGTTCAAACAGTGATCATGTTTTATAAAATGATACAAATATCCATGATAAAACATACAAAATAATGAAATAGAGGAGCTGGAACTGTTTCCCTTTAAGATATCCTTGGTTGGAATTAAGGAAGTAAAACATCAGCAAAAGTTCTCCTAGCAAGTTGGACAAATTTATATTCTACCCAGTTGTCTCATTTCACATTGGTACTTTGTTTAAGCTGATGGAGTTCTTATGAGATAGATCTCTCAGGAATCCTACACATAGAAAGACAACACAAACATGCATGGTCTCCATTTCTTTTAAGAGAGGACTTACCAATGAGAGAAGCATCCATCCTGAAGATGTCCCAAGGGTAATACAGAGCTGCTCCAATTTTTCTTCCCCTTTCTTTCTTCAAAATTAAGGTGACTTGAACACTTTAATAACTAAACTGAGGTGACTCCACCCTTTCTTCCTGGTTCCTCCTTGAGGGTTCAGATAGACAGAGGAAGCCATTTACCCACAATTCAAAATGTGCACAAGTAGTTTGGTTATTTCCTGCAAAAAATGCAGACCCACAGCACTGTTGCTCACATTGCAATGAGTGCTTTTGTAAAGAGGAATCTTGAATCACAGAAATATGTTCCTCTCTTAGAAGTGACTCACGTTCATTTGCAGTGTAAGCCATTCTGTAGTTTAAGCTATCATGCTCAGGAAGAAAATGGTAGCGATACATGAAAAACCTCAAGCAGTGTGACAATTAAGGAGACTTTTTAGTTTTGCTAATTCGACCGCTATGTTTTAGGTTTTGGGTGCCTTGCAGCAAGCCAGAGGAGGAGATAAAAGGATG